ACTTTTATATAGTTTTCTCTTTCACCATGACAGATTATTTTATTCAAATGCTGCTCTATGTGTATGTTAAATAAACGGTGATCACAATTATTATTTATTTTTGGAAATCAAACAGTCCCAGCTACACAGGAAGATGCGGTCAAACAGGGGACTCTTCAGCCGAACCCAGCACAAATGCTAAACTTTAAATGCTTCATTTCTCCAGGAAGTTTCTCTTGGATGACTACACCCAAGTGAAACCCAAAGAAGTTTTCTTTTTTTTTTTTTCAAGGAACTAAGTGAACATTTGAACCTAATGTTTCGTTATCCTTCTGCACCAAAAGCAAGCTTGGAAAGTTGACTGTTTGAAGCTCCAAAGGAATATCTTTAAAAAAAAAAAAAAAAGAAGAAATAAAACAAACAAACCAACAACAAAAAAATCAATTAATCCCTCCACAAGTGGAACCACCACTGCCCTCTACAGTCTTCTGCAAAAATGCTGTTCACTGACCAACGCAAAATGAGAGCTATTCCGTCAACAGAGACACACATACTGTGGCTTTAAACTATCCTAAATTAAAAACTGATTTAAACCTACATCTTCTGACTCAAATTTCATACTGAATTTTTAACTGCCTCACATCTGTATTCTACAGAGCTGACTGCGTTATCACAGTGATAGACAAATCAAAATTCATGCAGAACTGCCTACAACCACGCGGTGGAAGGCACCCTGCTTGGTCTCCATGTGAAGCCCTTTGCTGGACTCAGAGCATTTGATACTTCCACCGACACGTAAAGGCGGCCACGCACACTGGGGTCGGTGCCGAACAACCAGTCCCAGCAGGAGCTTAACAAGGAGGTGGACATCAACAGTTACCATACGGTACAACTCGCCAGGGCATCTAGGAAATCAGAAGTCAAAACATGACCCCAAATGTGCAAAAAAAACCCCCCAAACCCCAAAAAATCCAGAAACAGGCAGGAACAGCAATACTTTATAGTAGGTCCTCTTTGGAAATCTGTCTGAGAAGTGGGAGAGAATAGGGAAAAACAGAAAACAGTTTGAATAAAGCATTCTTTCTCCTATTCAAAAGCCGACGTATAATGGGCTGTATCTTGCCATAAGACTAGAACATTTTCAACATGACAGGAAAGAGGGAACATCCTCTGTCAAAGCAGCAGCAGGCAACTTCCATATTAGGTCAACATTTCTGGGTTGTTATTCAAACCCAGCAAGAGAGATATAACAAGAGCCAGAAGCTGGTACGCTCCTATTCATCACAGTAAGTGCTGCGATGCCAAGCTGAACAGTATAGTGGAGGCTCAGAAAAAAAACATTCCCAGAGTCAACACAACGTAAGTTTCCAGCCCCGCTTTTTGATCTGTGGACTCTTGGGAACAAAGCACAACTGAGCCAGCCTGGGACAGATTTCAGAAGTCGCTTCTTATTTTGCAGGCTGTTTTTGCATATACAAATTATTTGGGAAAGAAATATGGGACAGCAGAAATGTGCAAATACCTATTTGATGCACAGTGCAGACAGGGAGATATTTAGCTGTCTGATTTCAAGACACATTTGCTTGTTTTCAATGAGCTTAACTATTCATTTGTTTAAGCCCAACTTTTTGGGTCTGCAGAAAAAAACCTGAGCAAAACGACTCACTCAAGTGAGTGAAAGCATAGCCCTTCTAGCCCAGTTATGTGTCATGTCCAAAGGAGCAACAAGGAACACCCAGAGACACTTATTAACTTTCTAAGTTCAAATGCCAAAGTCCCAGGGGTTTGGTTTTGCAAGTGGAGCTCTCAGCATGCATCTCCTCTACCAGACTGCTCCTTCAGCATTTCCATTCTACAGTCTAACAGGTTGAGATCTTAAAACCAATAATTTCCCCTGAGCTAAAGAACTTGGCAAAAAATATTTGGTTAGACCAGAAGCAGATTTTGTTTTAGAAACAGATTAAGTTTATACTGCAAAGAAGAAATATTTATAAAAAAACCCCACACTGTAAAGCAATGGCTTTATGAAGGCCAGATTAGCTTCTGCAGTTACTGGCTCAGAACTCAGGAGGCTCCAAAAGCTTCTCTGCTCAGTTACACAGTGACGACCCTCCACTATACTCCTAGGGATGACGTCCTCCTAAGAGGTCCAATGACAGGTTTTTGAAAATATTAATTGAAAGACAGGATGATTTAATTCCCCTCTTAGGATAAGGGGTTGGATCTGTCCCCGTACTTGAGGATATTCCACAAGATCTTAACTGCGTATCAGGAACCCTTCCCACTCAAGCCTACTAGGAAATCATCTTGCCAGCTTTCACAGGCCATAAGAGTATCCACAGCCCAGGACTACGGAATGGTATGATCGCAATGAACACGGACACACAATTTTCTCTTTGGCTTAGGAATCAGGCGAACCTTCCTCCAGTATCAGGCAGCTGGTGTGCTGCTGGCAGCTCTGTGCTGGTTTAAGGCAGCCTGGACTGAGATCAACGGCCTTGTCTAATGACATAACAGATAAGTGACGTTTCTCCCCCAGTGCAGCCAGGCCCTGGAAGCATCGCAGGATAATGACACAGAGAAACAGCTACGCTGTTAGATCTCACGATGCTGAAATCCCCTGTTATAGAGAAACAAATGTAGCTAGAAACAGGCTTCACAGCAAAAAGCAATGCTTAAATTTTTTCAAAACCACATATGGGGACATCTGGAAAGGCACCTACTTTACATTAGTGTTGGTGCAGATGATGTATTCGATCTCATCGGAATAAGGATTCTGAAATGTGAAGCTGCTGGTTCTGATCAGCATCCATTCCCGGTTTTTGGTACGAAAACGATACATCACAGACAGGACTTGACCTTTCAGTTTCACAACCTGCAAAACCATTTGGAAAGGTTAATAAAAGGAGATAGCTACCTGCCGTGCAAATGAATAGTAACCAGCAGAACTGGTGTGTTTTAAACTTGAATTACAGAAAGCTATGGACACAGCAGGGAGATTCTTAATTTGAAGAGAATAAGCAAAATCGGATTCATGTCTGCAGCTATTTCCTTCAGTATGAAACTCTTACACTTTGTTGTATAAAGTGCCATTTTCCAGTCTGCATATAAGAAGAATACAAATTCAGGACAATCAACAGGGAAGCTTTAAGAAGGTTTTAATGGGGAATGCTTATCAAGAGAGACTGACAGAAACCAAACTGAGGTTCTTTTGAACGTTTATATGGAAACCATAAACCAAACATTGTAGCTGAAACAAAAGCCCACAAGAAAAAACATTTTGAGGTTCACTATCTGCCTTTTTGCTATACAATTCATACATGGGATATACCAGATCACATATCAGTATCAAAATTTAGGATAATATTTAAGAAAGATTGTTTTTTTTTTTTTTTAAATCATACATGGTTGTTTCGGGTTTTCCCCCAAACACGTTATAAGACCATTTGGATGGCAAAGCGCTAACAAGGAATGCTTGCTTCTGACTTTCAAAACAAGAAAGAGTGAGCCAGTCTTTGAATGGAGAGAGCACCAATAAGCCACTGCCCATTTTAATAGTATTAATGAAAACAGAGAGGAAATTCTTTGCTTAGACAGGCTATTTGTTTATGAGTAAGAATTCAGATGTCTGGCAACACTCAGTTCAAATTCTGTCTTTGGTAGCTGAAGTTTTGTTGAAGTCAATAGTAGGGCATCAACTGAGAAGTAAGCAGCAGCCAGATTTAAAAACCATGCTCAACACAATACTGGCACACTGGCACTGTAACTGCATTTTACGTGTTATCTAACAATCTTGGTTTAAGTCAGAAGAAAATTTATATGGTTTCAAGTCATTCAGCTGGCACTTACCTGGGCTATCTGTGTTTATTTGTTATTGCTTTTCCACCAAGTTATCTCAGGGGTGCCTCAGGGAAGAAAAGGGAAGGTCTACTGCAAATAAATGCCACATCTCATTGTGGACTCCTAATCCTTATCCACTGGAATTTATTTTTTATTAGCTATCTGCAGCCTGTATTCTCTAAAAGTAGAAAACCCAGTATTTACCCTCTGTCTTCATCGACAAGCAACTGGATTAGGAAAAATGCTCCAATCCTGTTTTTGCAAAAGGTCTGCATTTCAAGTTGATCAAGTGGATACAGGATTAAATGGAAAGAATGCAAACAGAAGCAGCAAAAAGCTTTAGCAATCCCCAGGAAAGTTCAAAATAATACTGAGGTAAATGCCTTTTGATTTTTTTTCCCCCCAATGCTTTTGTAGTTTGAGTTCAGCGAGCGACATTCTTTTATCAGCAATTTTCTACTACCACACCCAGGGTAAAAACCACAGAGCTTGTGTAAAAGTGTCCAATCTGAAAAGCATCCTACTAGATATCAAATAGCTGTATTCTGGATCCTTTGATACTGAACTCTATTTGTTGATCTTGGCCTTGAGACTATCTCATTCTGGCCTGATTTTCCCACCCTGATGAATGAATTTATCTTCCCAAGGAAGTAAAAGCTTTGAGATGGATACTGGCAATTTACCAAAACCTGCAAACCCCTCCCTCCCTCCTCTGTTATGCACCAACCTGGTTCTGATACTGTCAGCAAATTAGAAATGTCAAGTTTTCAGAGGGTTTTAGAAAAAAGAGAGTTTATTGGAAATCACAGTTACCTTTTTAATGAAGAGATTTCTAAGGCCAAGCTAACAATAATAAAACAAACTGCAGCTATCTATTGTCCTTAAGTCTGAATTAAGGAAACACTAATTCTGTAATAACATATAAAGCATAGAGATCGCTGGTGGGAAAATCCTGAACTGTCTTAAAACAGTGCACGCAAACAAGAAAGCACAAAAAATTTCAAGGCTAATGTTTAACCTCTACTTTCTTGCATTCTTTGGAAATAAAAACCACCTGGTGCCTAGCTTAACTGTTTACTTCAGTTCTTTATTGCATGATTGAAATAACAGCCCCAGTCACACTGCTACTGTACTGAACAAAAATATACCGAAAAAGGAATTGCCTACTAAAGAAACAGCACAATATTTTCATAGATTGGACACAGGTCGAGCGAACAGGAACTTTCACTTCGAATCTGCATTTTTTCCTGCTGCCTTTTTGTATGAACTTAAGCAAATCATGTAGGACCCTGATCCAGCGAATCACTTATGCAGACGCCTAATGGCGAGTAGCGACAGCGAGTCCCCAGAAACCGAGTTCAGGGATACGCCGGCAGCCTCCGCGTGCGCGAGCACAGTGAGGACCAAGTCATTAACTGGAACGCTGGTTAGTCGGCCCTTCTGAGCCCCGGGCAGTCACTTCAGAGACGGGTGTTTGACGTGTTATTATCCAGCAGCTCTCTGTCATTGTCTCTTGGATAAATTAGTGGAATCAATCATTTGGGCATTAGTGAAAAACAGCTTATGCGTTCTCGCTGCTCTTCTTGCACCACCGATGCGATCAGCACAAGTTCAGGGAGCTGAACCAGCTGAAAGCCAGTCCCATGCAAAAGCGATTAGTCCCTTAGCTAGCCCACCCGGCAAGTCCTTCTGTGCCAGTATCGGGACAGGTGGAAGGGTGGGGAGGAGGTTGGGGAGAAGAGAGGGAGTAGGACCTGACTCCCGGTGACAGCTACCCACCAGGTAGGTGCAGCTGCAGCATCACACCCCCAGGCAAGGTGGGGCAGAGAAGATGACTGAGTGTGCGACCTATTTCAAGCATCAGATCTCACAGGTTCCTGCCTCTGAATCAGCATCTTGAATTCAAAAGGTCTTTAGCTGCTGTTTGAACTCAGTCCGTTCAAGGGACGCTGAGATTGATGCAGAGTGCTCACACAGTCTTTTCTGCTAGCTCAGCAGCGGGGTTGGTAGTAGAGGAGGGGGTGGCGAGAAATAGTTCAAGAGTACTGGTATCTTACACTATCTCAAACACTTCTGTAGAGACTATAACCTCAGTTTCACAGTCTACACTATGGACACAGAACAGCATTTAGTTGTTTTCCCCAAGCCCTGTTTTTGCACGCCATGCCTGAACAAATAGTTGGCTATACAAATTATTTTAGAAGTCACTTCATATCCACGTTTCACAGCTGAAATTACATCTCAGCAACAAAAGACAGATCAACAAAGCTTGGTTGAGGCATAGGCTGTTGTCAGAATATCTGGAACCACTTAGATCATCCGAACCTCAGTGATCGGTTCAACATATTACATCGAGCTTCCCAGTGTGGCAGGGAAGGTGCTGAAAAGCCCAGCAACAGGCAGAAAGCGTGGGGAAAGCACTCCTACTGTATGTCCCAGATCAATTTGAAACAATCAGCTCTACAACGGAATAAATGCCTTGATACAGCAGATGCAAATGTGGCTCACTGTAAAAACAAATCCAGATCAGTAACTCTTTTCATATGTTGTATTTCTTCTGTTGCTTCTGTCTGCATTTCAATTCCTAAAAGGGAGAAGGGCCAAATTCTCTATTGATGTAAAGTGGTGTAACTCCATTACAGCACGAAGCACGTCATCTATGCTAGCAGAGAATTTAGGTCATGAACAATCCAGCATAACAGCAGGGTGTAACTACTTTCAAATCAACAGCCCATCTTGGAAGGTAAATACTTCTGGTTGCCACTTAACGTAGTGGGATTTATACAGGCATCTCCAAAACAGCTTTAACTGTGCACTCGAACACTCGTTTAATTTTTTGTAAAAAGAAAACAAAACATATAACTAGCTGACTTATTTCTGAAAACACACCAAACAGATGCTGCAGTTTAAACTACCATTTAAGCAGCTTAACTGATTAGTAACTGATCAATAGATTGTTTCATATCTTGCCACTCCTTCTCCTGTATAACAGAAAAAATACCTTGAAATGGAAAATGAAAGCTACTTCTCTGAACAAAATAGTAATAAAAATAATAAATAAATGGCAGAAGAAAAGGAGCAGGACGCAGCACCTGTTGGAAACTCTCCCTCAAATGGCTTTGATCTTCAGGATGGCAGAATTCTAAAATATCTTTCCCCAGAAGATCCTAGAATAAAACGTAAAGCTGTGTAAAAAACCCAGACCACAACAAAAATCCACGTGCAGATCTGCAAGTAATCCTTGCAGACACTAGATCTACCACCCTTACTGGGACTACTCAGTTAATCAGGGATGAATCATACAAACAAGGTTTGTAGGCATCATGTCCCACATTATATTTCTGTTGTTACACAGACATATATATTTACAAACAAATTTTAAGTGATTATTTAATACCTGTGAAATGGTGTCTTGAAGAGAGTGACATCCTCTACTACCGCTCATTTTATGGCACTAAATTTTGTAAAAACAGTTACTATAAAGCTACCTAAAATCAAAATAAATGGGAAAATCTAATGAGCAAGAAATTATTTTTGTCTGTAAATTGCAACTGTTGAGAGTTATCTGAGGGAGAGCTGTGGTAGTCAGGAGTTAATTTACTATTCTACCCAGTTCTGTGACTAGCCTCCTATTCAGAGGAGCAGATGTAAGCCTAAAGGAAAATAGATGCCATAAATAATGTTTGCTTACTGTTCAATAGATTGGCAGAAGTAAAGATCTACAGGACTGTTAACTTTCTATCACAGAAATGTCTTCACTGAAAAGCTGTGCAAGGTTTAAAGCATCTTGCTGTTAGCATTCTAATTGGATCTAAAAGGTATAAAAAGATATCCCACATAACTAAGGGGAGAACTATAATTTACAGAGGTGTGGACGGTAAAGAAAAATGAACAGCATTTGGTGCACGACATATGAATTATCAGCTGCAAGTATTTCATGGTTGGCTGCTTTTGTTTTTAATGTGGAAACAGAATTTTCTTTGTTAGCTCTAATCAGTCTCCGCATTTCCAGCGACTCACTGACCTGGGGCTGGTAGCCAATGACGCTGATGCACCTTGGGTCGACAAAGGTGATGACTCCATCAGAATTGTGCCTAGACAAGAACTCAGTGGGGACCGACATGCCGTTCATGTCCATGCACACTGGAGAGCTAGTTACCTAGGGCCAATAAAGTCCACAGCATTTAGTCCGCAGAACAGTCACCTTAAGTCAAAGCTGATTACATAGCTAAAGAATAAAATCTGTTGGCAGACTGCTAACTACTGAAGGAAGTCATAAATAAAACAACAGTGTGAATAAATGACACAGAACAGCCTTTAGTCTAGTTTGCAGTGCAAACATCTCAGCCCGTGGCACATATCTAGGCTTAACGGCACAGCAGGAAAACAAATACACCAGAAGTTCCCAACAAGGAGGGCTATGGTGAGGACACAAGTGTGGCTGGATTCATCTCATTCTGTGGGACCACATTAAAGTTTGGTATCTTGGTTCCTATCCTTGTCAACCAAGGACAGACTGTTCCAGAGGACAATTCAAAGCTCACCAGAGAGAACGATGCATTTCCAGCTCTGTGCCCGAGACCTGTGCAAGCGGGCCACTTAATGTCCATTCACTCCTACTGGGGCTACAAACGAGACCACTGTTTTCCTTACAACTTTCAGAGCCATCTCTGTTAACAAGGTCCCAAGGCAAAAGCAGCAAAATCTCATTTATTGCTGTCTTGAAGCACATTAGCCAGTTAACTGTATGCAAGATTTCAATTTGCTGTTACAGAGCAGAGTTTATAATTTGTGCACCTTGACTCCTTTGTGATTAAACCCATCCCAGAGCCTCCTCTTGCCTCCCTCACATACCCTGCTGGCTTTTCTAACATAACAGATGTTTTGACACTCCACATGTTACTAAAGTGATTTTCTCGGAAATAATCTTTCTTTGGCAGCTGTAACACATGAATCCCCGTAACTTCCTTCTCTCCATTAGTGGAATATATTACCCTTGATTATAAAAGCATGATTAACCTAAAAAACATCATGCAATACTCTTGTAGCTCTGCCATCACAATGGGGACACGCTCCGCAGAAGTGCTAACACTTGCAGTAACGTGCAGGCTGTTCACCTCAGATAAGATGGGTTTGGCACCTGTGCTCTAACAAAAGGGTCATTCTACCTTGTAAGGAGGAGCGATGCCATCCTAGCAGATGGCAACGAGTGCAAGCCAACAGGAGATCATGCAGGAGGCTCAAACACATTCACCCATGGCAGAATTCCCAGACCGGGAAGATAAAAATTAGCCTCCCTGCTGCAGTGAAGGAGATTCACCGCAACTGGTTAGATCCCGCTCAGAACTCTCGTCAGCAATGGACAAAGGAAGAAAATGTAATACATCAATTGCAACCATCTGGACAAAAAGGAAATAAAATTTTATTCTCGGGTCCCTCGGCTGATATCACATCTGAATGCACAGTGCAATACACACTGAGAATAAAGCTATTATTTGTGAAGGGCCTCTTGACTGCCTTATCTCTACCATTTTCAGAATAGCTCCTGAAATCAGTTTTTCAAGTAGTTGATTAGCAAGAGAGAGAGAGAAGGAAAGAACAGCAAGGAGCACGTCACTGGCTTTGGGAGCCGCTTTAACCTACCATCTGCAGCACCTGTACTCCCACGTTTCTCGCAGTCCAGAATATCCCAGCCCTGTGCACCCTAGAGAATGGCAAGTCTGTACACGCTCATGCTCCAGGAGCATCTTTGCTGCTGTTGTTGGGTTAAATACACATATGCACCAAAATCACATTTTCATTTTGCTCTGTTGACATGTTCTAAGCAAGTCCTGCCATGGCAGAGCGGCTGGAACTAGATGATCTTTAAGGTCCCTTCCAACCCAAACCATTCTATGATTCTATAAATCACTGGCTGCACACTGACATCAAGGTGCTTCGTATTTTGCTGGCAAGTTAAAAGTTACAGTCTCATACCAGAACTTTGTGCAAGGCCTTTACAACCAAAGCACAAGACTGATTATACTTTCAGAAGTAGTTTATATAAGGAAAAACTGGCATTACCTGAAGCCTTCCTATTGCCACGAGGCAATATTTACTACCTTGTCCCACATCAGCGTCTTCTTCTGGTATAGTCATTCCTAGAGTAAAAGACAACAAACACTGTCATAATTAGGAAATTTGGATGAGCCCAGATGCTATTGGCCTGGTTCTATACTATTCTAGATGCTCTAAATCATACAAAATAACCTTATTGTCTTCTCTAGGATTCAGGCATTATCTCTGGGTTTAGATCAGATAATCTTTCTCAGTTGTGCTTGATCCTACATACCTCACATGCATATACAGTACCCGCAGCAGCACTTTTGGCTGCCGCAGACAAAGCAGATACAAAAATTCCATTATACACCGAGAGGGACAGTTAAATTTCCATGAGTACTGCTCCACAGCATGTCACTGGAACCACATGGTCACTTAATATGGTCAGTGAATGCACACTGTATTCCGTTTTCTTTGTGAATAACATATTATCATGAGCTTAAAACCAAGGCACAGCCTAGATTATTCATTAACTTCAGGCTCATATTTAACAGCCGGTTTTACTTTTTTCTATAATGGACTAAATCTGGGTCATTACGTTGAAAGATTGAAAAAATGCGGATGCTTTGCTAACAGCACTTGTTTCAGTTGTGTAACAGGAGCAACTATTATAAACACAGGAATAATTTCAAAACATACATGTGTGCTATTTTCCATGGCGGTGTTTCACAAATAGGAACATTCAGATTAGCTCTGTTTACTTGCTAGCTGGCTAAGCCTTCAGTTAAAGCTATTTCCCAACTCCAGTTTTGAGATACCAATTTCCTATGAAGCATTTGAAAAAACATCTTCCAAGAGTGACACTGCTGACTTATTTTAAGTGATTTCTAAATTCTTTCACAAGTTTTTTCAAGGAATTCAGTCACAACAGGCAGTGAATCATTTAAAAGGCACTTGGAAGCATTAATGAAATTAATTGCAAAGCAGCTACCAATTATGAAACAACAGCCGATTTATTCTCAACATTTGTAATTCCCAGTGTAAGTCAATCTTTGGACCGTGCAGAGGATGACAGCATACAACTTTCTTAAATGACACCTCTGAAAAATGAGTATAGATGCTGCTGAATGAAGTAGTCCCTGAAGGAAGGTATTTTGTACCAAAATAATTGAATCTTATCTGACAATCAGTTTCTAAATAGCACTCTAAAGGTATTTTTCAGTTCTCATTGAGCTATATAATAAAATAAAACACACAAAGTATGAAAGAAAGAAACTTATATTTTTGTATAATATATTTCAAACTCTATTTGCAACGGAATTCACAATTTTGGGGGTGTAACTTCATTTGCAGCCCCTGACAGATTACTAGGATTTTATCAGGGGATCTCAAGAGCTTTACAAAGGAGGAGCGCTATCGTCCCCCATTCTAACAAGGGGGAAATTGAGGCGCAGTACGAATTTCAACATCACACACTACGACAGCTGGGCAAAACCCCGTTGTCTTCTACACAATGATCTTGCTATCCAGAGTTACAAATCTGGCCCTAAATCATTCCTTAGCTTCTAGACCTACGTGATATCCCTCACCAAACGCTGGGATACTCCTCTGAAATGTTTTCTTAGAAGCTGTACGAGAAGATCAAGGTGGCGTTATGCGACCTTAGGAGTACATTTTAAGAAATCCATCATTAAACACATAGGTTGAAAATAACATTGGGTGGAAATGACACATGTTATTTTCCAATTAAACATTTATTTTGCGCTTCCAATAAAGGTCCCTCCTGCAGGTTACTAGGGACTCAAACTTTCACTGGAGATCCTTCACCTGAGTTAGAACATCCTTGAAATGAAGACAACCTGCATTCACCCTCCCTGCGGGACCGTTCTGCACTGCCCGCAGTTTATCAGGTCCTTCAGGAAGTTAAATTAGAGCCCTCTTTTGCTATTTCACACACCACTATTCCAGTCTCTCTTCCGCTACACACTAGGCAAACCACAAACAAGATCCCAAACACAAATAAGTCCCATGCTCCGAGACACCAGCATACCACGGAGAGCACAAACCACTGACACGAAACTAGTTAAGAGATTCATATTACAAAGTATTTTGTTTTCCTTCCTTGCTGTGTTTACACACAGTTATTTCTCCAACACAAGATGTAGTAACTAGCTAATGACAGCTCCAATAGGCAAAGGAACTGAATCTGGCTGCCTTTGAGAAAAAGAGAGAAAATTACCCTGAAAAAGCAGTGGCAAACGTATCTACTCAAAATTGTGTCCACTTTAGACAGCTGCTATCTGCTTACATGCACGTGGGGTGCCCGGAAGGGCGAGCTCCCAAAACTAAACCTAGACTCCTCCACAGAGCAATTTTGATTTTAAATAGGTAGAAAACGGTTAACGGAGAATCGCGTGCAGTTTGCAGGGAATGGTAACTGGAATCCAGCGGTTTCACCTTACAAAGCGGTGACTAGAGGTGTGAACTGAGAGCAGGACAAATTAAATGATGCAGCAGTTTAGGATGGAGCACGAGGATGCTGACTCTGCTGCAAAAGAAATGCAGCAGTGTACAAAAACAACCACGGGAGGAAAGGACGCAGCAGAGCAGCAGCAGAAGTAGCCTGCCACTTGGGCTGGAAGATGGCAGCAAGGACTGCATCCCTTCAGGAGATGGATGAGGAGTCTCTCGCTCCTCAGTCCTGAACTCCAAAACCTATGAGTTGAACTGTCAGCTGAAAGAAGGAACATTTTAAAAGCTGGTGCCTGAAGCAATCACGGTGACACTCACACAGCTTGGTGCGGCTGGTCTGATTTCAAAGATGGCGAGGGATTCTAGGTCCTTCCACCTTCAGAGGCTTTTCTTGGTGGATGCCTGGTACTTCTGAGAATTAGGCCACTTCAACACAAGGGCCCAAGTGCTGTTCTCTAAGGAAATAATTCTAGGCATTCTAGTTGGATAACCTTAACCAAAAGGTCCCTTTAAAATGGAATTTTCCATTTGAGAAGAACATATTTAAAGTATTTTCCCTTGACTTCAAAAGCTTTTTTAATCATTTCTTTAGTGGCGCAGCGTATTGCAAAGGACAGCAAAGATACTCAGCTGGATGGCTTCCACTTCGCATAATCTTTTTTCTGCAGTATTCAGTAACGCTTTCCTTTTTAGGATCTTGGGCCGTGCTTGCTACTGCCCAAATAAACTCAAAGCAACATAAACAATCTCCAAAATTAAACCTTGCTAAGAAACACCATTTCTGATGTCACTCTGTTGGCAAGGGAGGCTGCTGTTCTAATTTTCACCTTTTTCTTTTTTTTTTTTTTTGCAAGACAGAATTCATTTGGTCTGTATAACACACTGGAAAATGTATTAGTTGGGTTATCTCACAAGACACCCTATGAATAAAAACCAATCTGCCTGGAATTAATCAATACATGACCCAGTAAATTGCTAAACCTTCCCTAAAAGTGCCTGGAGTAAAAATACACTAAAATGATTGTCTGCTGGTCTGCAATGTAGGTGCTATTGCTGACAGCATTCCATAGAGGAAATCGTTTTCTTTACTCTCTTGCTGACAGTTACCAAATTTCAACTGTGGGTGAGTTTATATATGAGACACACAGGTAGAGAGATTTACTTGTGCTTTAGCATACCTCCTATTGAAAATCCTCCCATACTGACCCTAAATAAAGATTTGTGTACTGCGCTCAATGCTGGTTTGTCCAGCTCGTAATATAACGTAACGCTGCTCCTTAACATCACTCCCTATCTCCAAAAAAAGTTGCAAAAGCCTCCAGGAAAGCAGCCATGAAACCTATCTTTAGGAGGCATCAACAAAATAAACATACATTAGTTATTGACATTCTTTAGGTGTGACCCCGAGAGAGGCTTTATTTCTCCATACCAAATACACACTTCTCTCAAATAACAAATATAGTGCTATGCTGGTTCAAGTTAATATCAACAATTTGCAAAGCTAAGCCTGCAACCGAGCATCGCAAATAGAATGCTGTGCCGTTAGAGGTTATATTTAATTTCCAAGTGCCTTTATGCCAGCAAACAGTTTCCCACAGGGTAACGGCATGTGCTTGTGTGGACATAAGGAACTTTTTAGTTTTCCCAATGAGCTCCCAGTTGGCTCTAACAACAGAACAGCTTCATTTTCTGCTGCCTTTCCCTATCCTTCTGCCCTGTATTTTCTGCGAGACACAGAACAGCGTTAGTAGATTTGTGGTTTTGCTTCACTACACTTAAAAATAAATGATTTATGAGTCTTTAGAAGGATGTAATTTAAGTGTCCAGTGGTCACTAGCAATCCCCTGTTAATGCCTACCTCCATCAGAACCATTACTGACAGTTACACGCCTGTGCACGAAACTGCACCGTGTAACAATCTCCCATACGCAACAATGGAAAAAGGCTTTCACACACAAAAAAAAAAAAAAAAAAAAGTTGTGGATGTTTACAGCATACCAAGGATAAATCTCCTGAAAAATTCCAACAAAAACTAAATTCTTCTTTTTTTAAAAAAAAGCCCCGAAAATGACAGCATTGCAAAGAATATTCAAGCAACTATTTTGTTTTGTATTGGAAGATGGAGTACTTTGCACAAGCAGCCAGATTCTGGCCAAAACTTTAACATAACCTAACAGCTTTGGCATGCTGCGGTTAAGACGTTACCGTAAGTCTGACTTGGAAGACTACAATGTTTCTTTTTTAAGATTAAAAAACTAAGGAGAAAAAAAATATTTCAACATTATTTAACATTATTCTGGGACTTTTTATTTGAAGTTTTCGAAATAAGTATCTATCTAAGCCTTTTCTTCACTATGTGTTTTTCTGCAGGTCCTGGCTTTGATTTGCAGAAAACTAGCAACATCCTGACAGACTGTATCTTCTCTCTCCACCAAATATTTTCCACCAATTGTTACGGCATGAAAAAAAACTATTAGGAAAACATCATATGGACCACATAAGATTCATTTCCTTCCAGGAATGAGATGCTAAGAAGAGAAAAAAAAAAAAAAAAAAAAGAAGAAAAACAAATGCTTGCTTAAGTTGAAAACTGAATGACCAGGAGAAGGTCAGCATTTCTCAGCTTCGTGACTGGTTATGAACCTGAAGCTTTGTCTAGGCTAAGGATCACAAGTTCTCCTAGTTGTGCTGCTTTGCCAGGAACGCAGGCTGGAACTGGTGCTCAGCCAGTTTCGAACAAGGGGTCTTTTTACCTCATTCAAAATAATCCAACACTACGCTGTCACTATTTAATCTAACATACAACGTAACCCGTTGGAACATCCATCTGGAACATCTGACTCCTTTTTCCTTTGACTTCCAAGCAAACTTTACCCCAAGTACTTGAGGCAAACATACAATTTATGGGGATATAAATGTGTAGGTATCACATGCCGGGTTTTGTACTTGAGCTTAGCTTTACCCTTCTCTTGCAGGCACAATGTAGGAAAAGGAACGGATCATTAACAAACCCAGCCTGAACGGATGCGCTCCTCAAAGCTGCTCGGTCTTCTCTCTGTGTCCCGCTCACCCAGAGGCAAACACATCCAGGGAACAGGCAAACAGCTCCTTTTCCAGGGGAGCACAGAGAGCGCCCAGGCTGCAGCACTCCTGCGTCTGCTTTGTTAGGAAACACGGGAGAGGCAGGTGCTGCCCGCGGGTCCTGCATGCTCTGAGCTCAGTTCTGTGCAGAAGATGAGGCACGATGCTTCCTGCGTTTTCTCTCTCATTTCTCGGTGAAAAAGGGCAGTCTGACAATAAGGGAGCCTTGCTGCTCCATTAAAGATAAAGACAAAACAAAAAAGTCAGGCTAGATGTGCAAAAGTGATCTCACACTGACCACAGACCTGAGCCGTATGAAAATTTGCTTTCTACTTTACATCTGTGAAAAAACCCCCAAACCCAGTCCTTAAAATACGCCACCATACTGATGCCAGCTGCCATTTGTTTTCACCTGTTTAAAGTATTTGAATTACTTAAGAGCTTCAGCACAGACTACTCACAGCATCAGCATTGTCAAACCTGATAGTCCATCGCACTAATAATGATCACAGGGCGGTTCTTGTCTTGATGGGTCTGCATCAATTCTGATTGTCTTATACTCAGCGTGGGACTAAAAAAAATTAACACGTTGGCCACAGACAATGCAATACAACCCAGAAAGAGAAAATACCAGGTGCTAAGCAAATTAGACTAAGTACAGATTAAGTGCATTTGCTAAATATTTGTTATTTGGTTTATGAAAGCATGTTTTATGTGTTGTATATTAGCTGTATAATGCACATGCCACATGGTCTGAAAGAAAAGGATATGGAGTTTATATTAAAGTGTCCACTTGGCAATTGAAAAATAAATGAAAATGATTCTTTCCATAGCTGAATTTTTAAACAGCTGCAATTTAGCACAAAGCCATTTATTGCCCAGAATCCAGAGATGATGCCACAGGCTTGCTACTCTCTACCTGATTTGAACAAAAGTAATTTTATTACAGGGTAGAAAAGCCTTAGCAAATTCAATTACTGCTGCAGTTACTTCATTTGCTTTGCAGATTATGGTTGAATTACCACTGGAAATGAGAACAAATGCAGTGATGTTGCCACTTATTTACACAAATGTATTGGGAAGCAATTCAGCCCACGGATATTCCCATTCAACTCCGAAAGTCAATGGATACATAACAATTACCAACACAAAGTAAGGAAGACTGGGAGGCCAAGTAAGTACTCATGAAAGAGGCCCCGGTTCAGTACTATATGCCCTGAAAAAGGCACTCAGGGATGACTACTATGAGTAACAATTTGCATGGTAACATAAAAGACCATTGAAACTCCACATAAGGCTGTCAAAATCGAAAACATCCCTTAGGATTGTGCTATAGTTTGGAGGCATTAACATTGCGGAGGAGCACTGGGATATCATAAGAGAGCACCATGTGATTTTGAGGAGTGGAGTAATAGAAATGGGACAAAATTCAACATTACTAAATGCATAAGCATGCACTTGGGGACTAATAACAGTCATAAACTACAGCAACAGAAATGGGATGAAACTTTGTGTTACTAATTGAAAGATCACACAATTAAAAGCTATTTTTGCTGTAAACTGAAAGATCCTGAGTTGACAACTGAGAAAAAGGCAGTCTGATCTATACATATATATCAGGTGATTTAGGATGCCAGCAGGACGCACTACACAAAAGAGAAGTATGCTATCTGGTATACTGCCAGTCAAGTCAGAAATATCACTTTCGTTATTCCTCACTACAATCTCATCTGGAACAAGAGCGTATACTGCCAGCGACCCACATTTTGAAAAGTTAAGTGAAAACACGAACAAGTACAGAAAAAAGACACAAGGATAAAGCAGTGAGTGCATTGTGAGACTGAAGATTAGAAGAAGTGGGCTGGTTTAACTGTGCAAAGTCAAGGCTGGCAGGATATGACCTGGAAACGCAACAGAACGCTGGAGAGAGACAGAGACACAGGGCAGGAAAACTCCCACTCGATCTTCAGTGAAATAAACCTCCCATAAGCTAATGAGGACTGGGAATCAGAGAGGTGGTTAAGCATGGGAAAGCAGCGAGGGTTTGGAAGAGCTGGAGACGGGGAAAACACCTCACTAACATGGAGCTCACAACGTGATACCTGGCAACGGGGCACTCCAAGAGGCACAAGATGCTTTCCATCCCAGGCGCCTGCGCTGCAGTGCCCGCTCCCCTGCAGAAGTGGCGGCTGGAAGTCACATACTGCTGACGTCGTAACCTAGCGCTGACATGAGTTCACGCGTTTGCAGCTCTGCGTTAGCCACGTACACCCCTGAAGGGTTAGATCTCTCTAAACGTCCTGTAACACGCAGCAAGCTTTTCGTTCAAGCCAAGCAAGGAGCTGAAAGAAATCTTATTTGACCTGCACCTTCCTGAAGGGACATCCCGTATATCAAAGCTGAATTCAGTTATGTTTGGGATTACCGATAGAAAAATTAATCTGTTTGTGGAAGAAAAACAAACAAAAAAACCCCTTTCATTTTCATAGAGCCATTGACACACACTGGGCTCTCACTCTTTTGAGACAGAAATGAAGCTGAAACATTTTGACTCCCACAGCACACTGAAGTATATTAAGTCCTATTAGCAAGGAGAGGGGAGGCTTTCCTCTTCTTCCGAAACTGCCATTCAGCAGAAAATCAAGAAGTTCGCATCTGCACGCTGGTGTCTGCGCACCGCTGCACAGACTTGGTGCAAACCACCTCTTAGCATTCATAATCCCGTGACAACCGTGATTTATGCTTGTGGTATACGACCGCAAAAGGGCAGGACAACTCATGGTTTGATTCATGCCAGCAGGCGCTGTCACATTGCAAACAGCCCCTTCAACTACTGCAAACGCCAAGGTCAGCTAATCCAGTTCATGATGATGTCTGGATGAGCTCCACTGTCTCCTCTTCGAATTTTTCAAAGGTAAATATTCCCACATGCAGTACTGAGTTACGGTAGGTAAATGTTTTTCTCTGTAGTTCAAAGCAATGTGCCAAGGCTTGTCTCCCAGAAAAACAGCCTCAAAACAGAACTGAACACAAAGACTGAACATTCTTCACTACCACCACCACTCTGAAGTGAAGACCTATGCACCTAAATGGAAATTACACATTTTCATACGTAGGTGCTTGCAACTCAGTACGTAAATATAAAAGCACTAGTTGGTGTTTTCCAGAGGTACAAATGCTTTCGGGTTACCTTCTTAAAATCAGGCCATTTTTTATGTTGGTTTATCAGATTGAAAACTTTTGGCCCCAGTTGCTGGAATCCCACATTACTGACAATTCCTACAGCTCTTTGTGCCAACGAAATCGAGGAGTTTCACGTGGAAAACCGGGGAGGCTCTGAGTGAGTAACAAGAGCTGATTTCTTGATATCAAAAGCTTCTCAAGATGAGGCTGAACTGGTTACCCGACCAAAATTCAGCCTGGTTTTGTACCAGCAAAGGAACCTGAGCCAAGTTTCCAATGGTGTTGCAGACAGTGTGGTGCAGAGCGCCTTCAGTGAGATGATACGTACCTGCGGGGGGCCAAGCCTTGATGTAGCCGGTGCAATGGACAACAGCATACTGTGCTTCACCTTCTTTTACCGGGCCAAGGCCATTCCTAAATTAAAAGGAAACACAAAAATATCATGTTGATTGGCATGCAGAATAGCTTTATGCTTTTAAACTACGACTACTAATAATTTACTGATATTTGTAAGTTATGTTAGAAACAACCAAACGTCGACCTAGAGCTCTGTACAACGTCAGCTCCATTACAATGCTGTTCAAGCCTTACTTGTTTTCCCTAATACCTCTTGGAGAAAGATAGTGAAGCTTGTTTCAGGGACAGAGCTGGTTAAGACAAAGAAGCGACTTGCACAAGGCTTGCAAAAAGATCGAGTGACTCCGCCACAGTTGAATTTAGTGGCGAGTTCTCCTCTCCTGAGACCCAGTGCTATTTTACACGGTGTGCTAATGCAGACGGTTGTCCAGGCAATACTCCCTGATGGAGCATTAGCCCAGGGGAAGATGAGAGTGCTTATGGCAAGTAAGTGTTGCAGTAAATTAAGGAATAGTACCTGTATCTTTTTCTCATGGTGGTTATCCTGTTCAGAGGTAAATGATCCAGAGGAGCATTTCCACACCTACGAGTAAATTAATATTTGAAAGAGCTCAAAAATGAATATAAATACCCAAGATAAAAATGCATTTTAAGATCTTTATTAGTATATGTAAGTAGACAATAATGGATATTTATTTCTGACAAAGTCACAGATTCATGTTTTCTTAGAACTTACTGCTTCCACAGGCTGAGCTTTATGGGTGTGCTACAAATACTTTATTTTATTAAAAAATAGAAGAGACTACAAAAAGATTCCCTCCCACCCCTCCAAACCTAAAGGCTATTTGAAATGGATATTCCAAGAGTGGCTAAAGAATAGACACGCTTCAAAATACTATAAAACAAGGGTGAAAACTAGAGAAGAATGTAAGTCAGGCCCCCAAATCTCCACACAAAACAATCTCAGTGTTCCAGTAGCTTCCCTGGACAGACCATTTCGACTGCCATACACCAGCTACAATGTTAGTAGATACTAGTCCAATATTTGCAAGAACAGACTATTTACACTGTCAAGTAACTTTATTTAACACTCGTTCATGTATATTTTGTGATGTTTCTAACTATGCCTAACTGTATAGTTTTAACAATCCATTTGAAGCTAAGTAAATATTTTGAAGGGTAAAACCAGTTCATTTTCAATGGAAAAAAGAACAATAACAATGAACAAAGTAATCACAAGGAAAGTTCGCATTATTTGAGGCTCATTCTTCCCACAAGGTTTTTTTTAATTATTATTATTCTTTTTTTCCCCTTTTTTTTAATACCGGTCACTGCCAAGGAGAAGGAATGAATAATTAAAAGAAGATTTAGAATTATAAAACAATGGGGCTACTGGCATGTATAAAATTACTCTCATGCACTGGACTTTACAACTGCAATCTGAAATGTTTTAAAAGCTGGGAACAGCCGTAAACAGGACATTAGACCTGGCTTTCTCTGCACAAAAAAAGTCTTCCTCACGTGACCAGTATGTGCAGCTTGGAGGACGAGAAAGCAGTGTTCCAAGGCTGTATTTCTTTCCTCTCAGTTAAGGGGGAAAAAGGAGCTACAGCTTTGAAGTCTGATCGTGCAGGTGTGAAGTATATAAACCCCTTACAAAGGCGCCCAAGAGCAATACATTCAGCTTCCTCACATGACTGGAAGAGCTCCACCACATAACCAAAGCACAGGGACCTGTTTTAATGTGACAACTATTTTGCTTTGCGTGTTTCATTCCATAACAAATCGTGCATCATCTGTTTTCAACGCGTATATTGGATATAGGCTGCAGATGCAATTATGTACTTTCCCCCCCAACCACACAGAGAGAAATTTATTGCAATAGCAACGGGCGTTTTATCCCATTAGTACTACAACAACAGAAGTGCCCACAAGCCCTCGTCAGAAGCACTGGGCAGGCAGATCTCTTTAAAGACACCTCAGCCATGCAGGAGAAGTTGGAAAATTGCAAAATAAAAACCCTCTAACAATTAGTCATTTATCTAGCACCAACCAGCTGACATTTGGTTAATTTATACCAGGCTAAGGTTAATTCCTACATAGCTGGCAAGTTTACAACTGAATTCCTGTTTGTCTTCAAGATTCTTTTAATATTATTGGTTTGCTGAAAAAATACACAGCATTGGGCTTTCATTACACTTGCGAAAGCTTTTTTCCCAAAGTATTGATTCGAGTAATTTGACTAGAAAAGACAATAGCTTACATTCCAGGGGTGAAGCTGTCATGAAGTTCTCTGGGAAAAGCATCCTACACCCCACACTGATAAAAATAACTGCAACGCACAACTGAGGTGCTGTTTTGTCATTAATCATTAAGGAAGACAAGTTTCAGTTTTACTCCAGTTCCAAAAGCAAGCATTCCAGAAATGCTTAATGGGAACGTGTCATTACAGCTTCGGTTTTTTAAAGCAAGGTCAAATTAGTGCAACAAAATGTCTGAAGTCTAATCTGAGACAGGACTGGAACCATCGCAGGAATACAAGGTAAACGCGTACCTCATCCTGCAAATGAAAGAGCGCCTTGATCCCATGCACATTCTCATCGAGGACTGCTGACCCTCTTTCTTTACTGTTCCAGTCTTCAAGTCCAGGATTCGTCCTAGAAAAGCCAGGGAGAGCAACTGATGTTCAGTACATAAATTTAATTCAATTGACAACAAACTAAGATGACAGTAGGTTCATAAGCTAAATGCCTTTAACCCAGTTAGGGGGAAAAATACCAACAGAGAATCTTGATCCCCGTCTCACATCAGTTATGTGCTGGCTTAACTGATGATTTCAGCGAAGCTGACTCTGAGTCACAACAGCGATGGCTCTTTTCTCGGTTGGCCCAAGACCAACTTCCAAGGCAAGGTCAATCGTCTCGAGGCAGAGAAGACAATGACAGCAAACATAGCTTTTTGACTCGATCCGCTTGCTCCACTCTTTACCAGAACTGTGGATAAAGCAACATGCATCATTCCCCTGACAGCCGTTCGTCTTTCCCTGTGCTCTCACGTCTATCCAGAATGCTCTCACCATAATGCCACCTCACATATCCAGAGCTGCAGCAACGGTGAGGAACAAGTAAGACCAAGCTTTTCTCCTTGATGATGTGACACAGGATATGTCACAGCAGCACTTGTGGTGGGGCCCTTTCAGAATTTAAAAACATGCTGACATGTCAGGTTTTTATCAAGTTAATTTTCAGCCGGATCAGTGAGATGATCTGCCTCACCACACAGCAACATGAGACTATGCAAGGTCCAAGGCTGGACCCTGCTCATCAGCATAAGCTGACTACAAACCTCAGAATCTCCCCGCACAGATACAGCATTGAAAAGGGATGACAGCTACTACGTCATCTCAAGAGGGGACAGGACGGAGGGAGCGCTGAGCTGACACTCCTACAGTAAGTCAAGGGAGGTCTTTTTTTAATTAACAAAGGTAGCAAAGCGGTTAACATTAATCGTTCCATTCTCCTGAGACAAAACAGAAGGCAGTGATTACTACAGATAGGTTTGGATCAGCGATGGCAGGGTACCGCGTATCACCTGGAATTCTACTGTTTATCCCCAAAGAACTAACAGAATGGACTTTTGCATCTACAGCTCAATTGCTAACAGATGACTATAAAATCTTGGACATTAACAACACAGACTAGAAATGAATCACTGGCCCAGATCCACGACGCTTCAGGGCTGGATACAGCCACAAAAGTGACAGTGGGCAAGAGAAACGCAGTGGAAGAGCTGCCAGACAATTAAATGACAGCCACCAGTGCTGATGACACGTGGCCATGAGCAAACCTACGTGTTTACAGTGGGTATCTTTCAATAACTGAAACTATATAAGCCTAAGTCTTTACTGTGATATAACTACCTAAGTTTACAGCAACATAAGATACCATACTCTGTCTGTACTAAATTGAAGAAACCATGCAGAATATGTTCAAAGTCTCCCTCACTGGATTTCCTTAAAAGTCTCTGTCCAAAAATTAAGTTCTGAAATAATCCCACCGCCAAACGTTAATTTCAGAATTACTTTAACTGAAAATACTTACCACCACCCATGAATGGGAATAAAATCACTACAAACCAGTTTAAAGATTAGTGTTTTAGAGAAGGAACTATGCAGCAGCATTTTATTTTTAAGGTATACTCAAGATAACCACTCCTGGAGGAAAGCCATCCTTGTCGACAGAAGGTTAGATGTCACTTGGTATATCTCCAAGGTATATTTGCACACGGTTAAGAAGTTAGCAAGCCTGGGAACAATTCCTAAAGATGCTTCAATTTACAGCACTGGGCTATATGTTAATGTTGATGTACGATTCAGGTGTGAGCTGGGAAGAAATCGTACCACGGCATTTCCCAGCTCAGTTATGCTGACCCTATGACGCAGGACGGATCTAAGCCTCACACACACTCCCCTTCCCTCCATCGGTCTCATTTTCTGTAGCCAAAGCCACCGACTGTTTCCCCAGCCCCTCAACTAATCACACAATGTAGAGAAATAAAACATCATTAGGCAGGAGGCAAACTGACTCACAAACGAAGGCGCTACATAACAAAGCACATAAAGACAGAATATATGTGCAGAACCCAATGGCTGTCCGTATAAGCCGGCAAGCCAAATCAAACCACTAAAAGCATTTTTTTCTCTTTGGACACAATAACTTTGTCATACACATAATAATCAAAAAGCAGTGACAGTAAATGTAACTCAGCTAATAGAAATTTCTGAGTTTTTAATCACCCAAGAGCATCTACAAAAATAAGTATACTTCACAATTACATGGCTGCTACGCCTAAAATTGCTGACACATGTTCCTTTGGCATATCTGGAGCCCCTGACAAAAAAAGTCACAGTTTTTAAATTTAGCTTTTTGTTTAGCAATGTCTTAGAAATATGTACCAGATAACAAATAGTAGTCTAAATTTTGCCCTGACTTACAAAATCACTGCAGGGGGTATGTGGTAATACGAGTCAGAGAATCGCTTGGTACATCGATATTATGACAAAGCTCTCTCAGCAGCTTGTTTCAATAGTCCATCGTGCGTGTGTGAACCTTACAGAGCTCTAACACCACAGTGCAGGTTTTGAGAAAGAACAAGCAGCTTGTGTCTCATACCGTTAGAAGCTTATAATCAAATTATAGTAAAAAGAGGAAGAATTATAGCTGAACAGACTAAGGACAAAGCTTGCAATTTAGCTCAGACAAGCCTGATGGTGCACTCCCTGGGCTAAGAGGGATCTCCTAAGACACGGACTACCAGGGCTTGTGTCTCAAACAAAACTCCTCACCACTCCACACCTGACTCTGAGAAGGGGATGGACCCACACCGCTCCGCTTCTGCTAGCACAGGATTGCAAAATCATCTTCTACCTGCTTTAATATCTACAGTTCGCTGCAGCTGCTCGTGTGACGGACCTTGGCAGGTCCCACCCTGCAGCCAAGCAAACTGGCATAAATCGCAGCTCAGTGTCGTACAGACAGCTCAGTTCAAAGAGGTGGCACGCTCTGATGATAGTTCTGTCACAGACCCATAAAATATTCGTATCTCCATGTGCTCCTGCATCTTTTACACTGGTGCTGCTATCTTGGTGCTAAATACTCACTTAGGTTTCTCGACAGGAAACACACACAAAGTACATTTGATGTAAAAGTTGGCAAGTATGTTCTTATTAATGAGAAATATTCTAGGATGCTCTGACAACTTCTGCTAACTGAACAGTGCACATGTGCTTTTTTTTTTTTTATTTCTTCTTCTAGTTTCTTCAGAAGAACAGTTCTAACAACCCAGTGCTACCACCAGCTGGATCCTTATGAGCTTCCCCATAAATTGGTAATTGCATGTAGTGCATTTTCGTGTTAAAACTTTTCCCCTCTCCAGCTCCAGACACAACCCTCAGATACAGCAAGTGCAGGGTGCATGTCTCAATCACAGCATTTCTGTGACTGCCACTGCTGTCTCATTACCATTTACAGCAGCTGCACAGCTCAGAGGAAACCAGAGTTTACTCTGCTCCAAAAGAGAAAGCAAATAAATGAGCACAATGCTTATTAAAACCAGCACATAAATCTCTCCGGTTGGTCTGGGTATAATTGATAATTCGTTGAAATCTACCCACTACAGTCCCCATTCAGAAGGCAGTATTGCTTAAACCTGTAATAAACCAGTTGTCCTCTGAGCAGGAATCCACCGTGTGACCCAGGAACCTGATGTCAGCTGTCATTACAGGACGGGGCTGTCAGAGGGGACCACAGAGGTGAGGACGATGTTCAAGAGATGAATTATTCAGGTAAATTTAGAGAAGCCATACAAAGCTCTTCCCAGTAAAGAGATTAGTAACAGATTCAAGTACTGAGGATACATGCCAGAAACATTTCCTTTGTGTTATGCCGCAGCGTGTTCTCAAAGATGCTCTAAAAATATTCTCATAATGATCAAGGGGACAAATGTTCATATTGGCACTAAAATACCCCTCGTGTGCGCAAATAGTGGAGAGATTACGCATGACCCTTCCCCTTTTGGACCTCCAATTGCTACTGTGAACGTTCAAATACCTTTCCTGTGTCTGCAGTGTTTGAGATGAACCCAAGCCAAGGACTGGCCTGACCTGCTGAAGTTCATGGGGTTTCAAATCTGGGAGTTTGGCTCAAATCCATCTTCACGCAATAGCACCAGCCTGCTAGAAAATTTGTTCCTCCATGTTTAAGCACTGCATGCTAAGGGTTATAGCCTGGTAATCAAACACAGTCTGTTCTTTGTTACTTTCTTCAGGTTTTGGGGGTTTTTTTTGTGAATTCAAAACTTCATAAGCTTCAACACCTAATTCTACCATAAATGCTCTCTGCTGGATTTCCAGTTCCCTAAGAATCCTACAGTCTGTAATTAGAAAGACAGGCTGTTACATGAGGGCATTCTTCTGCAAAAATTTCAGAGCGAGTTGAAATGTCTGTCTCTAAAAGCAATCATATGGTATCCACATCCAGTTTGCAGCACGGAAATGCCCCTCTTTTGCAACAAAAGGCTACTACCTGCTTACAAAGATCAGAAGAGAGTTGCCTTGGCCTCATGCACACAAAAATACTGTTGGCAAAGTACATGACACAATTTTCCGTTTCCCTCTAACTCATCAGTAGATGGACTGCTGTCTTGCACAGAATCTTGAACCTGATAAGGAAACAGTCTGAATTAATATCTGGAGTCTCACCTTGCCCTCAATACAGTCACCTCTAACAACCCAGCAAGCTTCGTGTTGTAGACGATAGTTTCTTGTCTTACAAAGAACAAGTTAGATGTTTCATAATTGTTCTCAGCCACCGGATTGTCTACATATTTCTTTCCAGGCAAAATAAAATAAAGGATAAACTACGTTTGGTTTGGACAAGATAACAAAAGACAACTTTGTGCTCACCAAAAATACTCCACAGGCTACTCAGGGAAGACAAACAGAACACAGGAATACTGCACCAAGAAATCCTTATGAAAACTAAAAGCTTCTTAATCTTACTATGAAAATGGAAAAAGCAAGACAGGGATGCAGGAAAACAAGAGGAAATAATTAAAAATAAAAGCAAAGTGATAGTCAAGGTACTGATGCTTCTGTACA